TCACGGGAAAGGAGTATACTAGATCGGACAGCTTCGCGGCATGGAGAGGTCTAGGCGTCCCTTTGAGGGACTTATCATCCCCCAACTGCAGCACCCGACCGAGATAACTCCAGACTTCATCCCTTGACAGCTCCTCCAGCGACGCGCGGTTGGGATCCATCAGGCTGGAGTATTCCCACATCGGCCATGTTCTCTCCGCCAACGGGGCGATCCGACGGCAGAAGAAGGTATGGAAGACCCGCAACCTATCGAGGTCATGCTGCATGAGCCTCCTAAGCTCCATCTCGATGATCTCCAGCTTGTTCTGTTGACGGGCAGGACCCCACGACCAGCTTTCCCTCCTCTCCGGCCTCTCCCCAGTGAACATTGGGAATGGCGCCTCTGTCGGGTTCCTGATGTAGAACCACTCGCCGTGCCATCCTTATTTGGAGTCACTGGGGGAGTACATCAGGTAGGGGACCGACAGCTTAGGCTGCTTCTGTAGGGCGAACCCGCCGACCGAAGCGATTCTGGGCGGTTTCCCCTCGGACAGGGCTCGCCCGTTGAAGATCCGCCGGAAGAGGTCCATGTGTGGCTCCATCCCAAGGAAGGCCTCGCAGACGGTGACAAAGCCGATGTTGTGCAACACCCCAGTTGGGTTGAGGCGCTACAACTCTAGGCCCCACTCGTTGAGGAGCCCGCGCAGGAACCGGTGGGCGGGGTACCCGAGCCCGCGCTCATGGAAGGCAAGGAAGGAGACGACCTCGCCGGCCTGGTGTTGTGGAACAACCTCCCCCGGCGCGGGAGCCCTCCAATACGCCACTTCTTTCGATGGGAGCAACCCCTTCTTGGGGAAGGCGGCCAACACCTCCTCATCCACGTTGGAAGGCCTCCAGTTCGACATCGCGCCACGGATCTACGAGCGAATATGTAAGTTTTTCTCTCTCCCTCGCTCTGCTCTCCTCTCTCCTAGAAACCCCCATGGCGCATGAAGGTGCTTAGCAAGAAGAAGAGGAAGCGGCGGTGGTGAAGGAAAGCCGAAGAGACAGGAGAAAAAAACCTCTCCCCCTATTTAAATGCGAAAGGACGTGCGGTAGGACGTGGCCTGGCTAACGAGACGTGCCTGCCCGACGGAACATCGCCTGGTTAGCGGGATGTGGCCTGGGCGGGGCCCACCACTACCGCAACCCGAGCACAAGAAACGAGGCACATCCGCATGCAAACGACCCTCCGCCTTCACAGGAAAGGTTTGGAGGGGCCCACCGATGGAATCTCCATCTAGGAGAAGCCAGCCGATCACCCAAGTCGATCGGACGGCTCGAGCGGCTGCCGAGAAATGGGTAAGGAGCAGTGGGATGCCCCGTGCAGGTTATGCCAACTCCGTCATGAACGACGGACCCTGATTCCACTCGGACATATCCGATAGGAGCTCCCCGAACCCGTCACTCTAGCCATCGAGGTAACTTTACTAACCCCCGTTTTACTTTTTTAGTGCATGAGCATTCATTCATCAATTCTCATGCATGCATTCATGCACTCAGTCATATATTCATCCACACATTCATCCCATACATCCAAGCATGGCATATGCAATTGTTGCATCACAACGCTTCGCGTCGCATCACGAAGCGATAGTCGTGTCATTATATATGAGCGGCGACCGACCGGGGTTCAAAGGCCGGCCCGCAAAGGGCTCAAGGCCGCCTCGCATCAAACAAAGCTAGGGGAGAAAACACAGATGATCCCCAGCGACCCTCGCCCGATCCACTCAGAAGCGGACAGGGTCATCTCGACCTTCTCGTTCGATCCTGACCTCGAGCCATGCCCATAGAATCTCCATCGAGGGGAGGTCAGCGGGCCACCTGAGTCGATCTCAGGAATGGCTCGGGCATCTGCCGGGAGGTGGGTTAAGGAGCAGTGGAATGCCACATGAGGGCTATGCCGACCCCGTTATGAACGACGGACCCAGATTCCACTCGGACATGCTCGTTAGTGAGCTCACCAAGCGCGTCACTCGAGCCATCGAGGCAAGCGACGTTAGCTCAACCCCTCCGGTTGCGGAAACCGCAGACGGGGTGATGCATGAAACTCGACCGACCCCTACTTGGGAATCCAACCGACCGCATAGGTCACGGGTGGGACGAACATGGGCGAACACCCCGACCGGTGGGAACATAGGAGTCTGCGGCCAAGGAAAGAGTACTAAGGCGCTCAGCCTCCGACCGACTCACCAGTCGGCTGCAGGCTAGGAGGCTACACCCACCGGATGCGCTCGCGCTCACCCGGCAGAAGACGGACTACCAACGAGTCCCCCCCCTTGGGGGCTAGGTGCCTATGTCTACTCGGCGCGCCTCCGCAGTCTTCGCCAGTCCCCTCATCAGGGGCTGGGTGCCAATATCCCCCGGCGCGCCTCTGCGACCTTCGCCAATCCTCCTCGTGAAGGCAGGGCACCTAAATCCTACTTGGTTACCCTACGCGGTACAACAAACCAAGGGGAAAACGACGAAGTTCCAATAAACAGCCCGCCTCCACAGTGCAATGGGCACAGGAATTACAAAACAAATACAAGCTTTCATTAAGCTAAAGACACAAGCCTCAGGCTTTTACAATAACACGCAAAGCGTGTGTGAACAGTCCCAGGACTGCTCCGCACCTTGGGGCATGAAGCAAAACAAGGGAGCCAAGATCCTTGTTCTCCCGCTACAATGCTCTCCTCCCTCTCTCCGTCCTCTGATCTAGAATCCGGGATAGGGGCCTGTTTGAGACGTACGATGCTCTCTCCTTACGAGACATTTTCTAGCATCGTACTACCGTGCGCCCTCAAAAGCGGCAACCCAATAGCCCCTTCACGGCTTCACAGAAGCCCCAAAGAGGCTCAGGGGTTCATGTCGAGTTCATAAACCCAGGGTCCCAAATGGACCCGCTTATCTGCAATACTTGGCCTAGCAGGCAGTGCAGCGACAGCGCGCGTCTGGGCCGGCTCAGATACACAATGACAGGCCGAGACCACGATCCGGTCCCCGACCGACACCTCCAGCCAGGAGACCTGGTCGGAGCCGCAACCGAAAGGCCTGGCCGCGGTGGGACCACAGTCTGACTCCGACCCCGTTCCTCTGATCAAGGATATGCCGGACCTTTGCCGCCTCTCTTTCCCGACCAACACGGTCGGGGCCGACTGGGAACAACCGACCAGGACGCCTGCTCAGTGTGGGCCCGGGGAGCAGGCGAAGCAAATAAGGTAAGACGCTCAAGTCAACCGCAATACCGAGGACCGTACCCTGCCATGCCCTGCGCACCTGCAAGACAGTGCCATCAGGCCATGTCAGACGGACACTATACAGCCTGCCAGACGCGTCAGAGCACAAACAATATTGTGGGCGCCGTCGTTTGCCGTCCCTGACGAACACTATGCAGCCTGCCATATCATGAACAGTAAGGTGGATGAACACTGTGTTGCCTGTCAGATACAGCATGTCATAAACAGTAAGGTGGGCGATGACGTGCCGTATCTGACGGCGTGAGCAACAAGACTAGGTAGCACCCGTACACACTCTCTCACATTCCGTCTTTGACTTGTAAGGCCATCTCCTTCATTTATAAAAGGGGATGCGCTCTCTCCTGAAAAGGGAGAGGACAACAGCTCAACAGCTCTAGAGCTCAACAGCTACACAGTCTACACGCTCTCAACAGCTGATAAGCTCGGACACACAGAGCATACGCTCTAATACTTAGCGCACGTTTGAGCATTCGTCACTCTCTTTCACTCGGTTCAGAGTCCGACCGGGCCTCTAACATCCCTTTCTCATTCCTTACTCGTTTATAACCCCACAACAAACTTTCAAGCATCTGGGCTCAGGAATAAAATCACCGACCGACTAAAACTGGATGTAGGGCACGTTGCCTGAACCAGTATAAATCCTGTGTCATCGCGTGCTAGGCCACATCCGATTACAGCGCACGACAAAACTACAAATATTTACTTGTCGGCCACGTTTCGCACCGACAATACATATAGCTGAACAGCTCACCAGCTCAGGTAGGCATCATAGATGTACGACGAGAACAAAATAAAATAAAATAAAACATGCTTATGCTTGTCTTTCATGTTTCGTATTGTAGATCATCTGTGTTTTATTTGGTTTATTCGGAATAGCATGAGCACGTTGTGCAACTGTGTGTGTTTTCTCTTTTTGAATGACCCTTGGTTCTTAGTACTACACATTTGTAATAGCATACTCCAACAGATGTGAGGAAAATTGAAAAAAAGATTACTTCTGCATACCTGTAATGGAAACTGGCCATTCTTCCAGGTTCTGCAATACTAGGAATAGCCCCTATGAGTATATATTCATCATCAATTTCATCAAATCTAATTTCCCTTAATTCAACAGATTGTATTGGAACCTCGAGATTAAAATTTTCCAGATTAGCCTGGTTCCATTCCTCCTTCCACTGCCTCTTCTTTCCCTTGCTCTTGCTCTTCTACGATTTCTTGAAGATCATGAAAATGCCTTGCAGAATATACATGACCACCAGTTCACTCTAAGCCTACGGAAAACTTCATAGTCCTCACCAGTGTCATCATCCCCATACTGAATCAGTCTCCCAGAACTTGTGCATGTATTGTGCTCAAGACATCTACAATATCAGTTGTAGATGGGCACCCGTCCCGTGGCGAGGATCCCCGATGGCGAGAGCTAGAGGCATGGCTCAGCTGGAGGAGGACGGAGATGCTGATGGGGCAATGGTTGATGGATCTAGCGCCCCCAGCCCCCATCCTGGCCCGGTGCAGTGCCGCCTTCACCAAGTATGGCGCGGTGCGTATGTACTGGACTTTTTTTTGAGGAAAAAATAAGCATTTTTGCTTATTTTTTGGCGCAGAGAGAGTCGGATTCGATTTCGAAACGCGTCCACGCACCCAGTCGGACTCGATCCCACCTTCTCATATATTCACTCCAATCCACGACTCGAATCTCGCAAGGTTACGCTCTTACGCTGCTTGCCCGCATCCCGCCGCCGCCATGGCCAACGAGGAGAGCGGGAGCCCGCTCCGACGCTGGAGGCCGTTCTACAGCGCTTTCGGCGCCATCGACGAAGCAATCGAGGCAGCCGGCCACGCGCGCGCCGCGTTCCGGGAGGTGAGGGTCCGGATCGTCCAGCTGCTCCGGGGCGCCGTGGACGACGGCGTGGCCGAGCAGCTCTGCGCCGCGCTCGACGACGCCATGGTGGAAGCGCTCCAGACTCTGCGGGTGGCGCCCGTCCCGCACGGTGCGCTGGCGTCCACCGACCTCGCAAGGGCCGTCGGCGCCCTCGGGAAGCACGGGTCGGCCCGGATCCGCACCCTCGCGGGCGACGTCGTGCGCGGGTGGAGCACAGCCATTGACGGCGCTAAAGCTACAGCAGAGGAGGAGCTCGACAAGCTCTCTGATGATCGGATCCCACGCCAGGGCATCTCTACAGCAGTCAAGAAGCCGGTCGACGCTCAAAGCGAGAAGATGAAGGCCAAGAAGCTGATTGTCACTCAAAGCGAGAAGATCGAGGCTAAGAAGCCGGTCGCTGCTCAAAGCGAGAAGATGGAGACCAAGAAGCTGATCGTCACTCAAAGCGAGAAGATGGAGAATACTAAACGGAAGCTACGTGAGGGTTACGAAGAAGCCAAGAAGATCAAACGTCTTCACACGATTCAGAAGATCGAGGATAAGGAGGCACCAAAGCTTTTGGAGCAAAGCCAACGGAAGATGCATAGAGTTCCAGCAAGATGTAGGATCTCCTCAGGCGTTCGTCGTTCTTTGCTTCCCTCTCTTCAGCTGATTTAGGGCTCGGTCTAGTTCTTTGATAACTATTATTAGTTTATTGATGTCTGTTTACTCCAAGGCGCTCTAATGCGCCTGATGACTTCAGTCAGGCATGCGTGCATCATTCAGCACATAAACGTATCATATAATTCTAAGCGGGCACGGTGCATAACACTTGACATGCTGAAATGAAAATGATTCAGTACAGGATTTGTTGAAACAGCGCTACTCAGACGTTATAACCATTACAGTAAGCAAATTCGTGTTTCTCGAATATAACCGAAATAATAGATACAAACTGCAGCCAGCGTGATTTCTTCGGTTGCCGGTGTACTGCAGTAGTGATAGATAATCTGCTCGGCCCAAACTGCTTGGGCTAGGAAGGCCTAGATAAGTGCATGGGAAATCCTTGACCGGGCATGACAGAATTTCTGAAGTGAGTAGCAAATCAGTTTCAGAACAATGAATAGGAGAAACTGAACTTTTTGCCCAATTTATTCGGAGACCAGAGGCGTGCCCAAAATAATCAAGGGTGAGTTTGATGGTCTGAAGATCAGTGCAGGATGGTCTCAGAAACATCACAGCATCATCCACAAAGAAAGAAACCCGGTGACTGACATGGTGCATGGCAAGCTGCTGCAAGAGATGAGGCGACGGGAGCATTCCAGTTCTGCTGAACAGCATCCAGAAAGCCAGGGATTTTTGTCCAGAAACTTCCGAAATGAAAACACCGCTTGCCATTTGTGCTAACCTTCAAACCGAGAATAAGAGGGCAATGATCAGAAACAACTGAGGCGGTGCTCTGCAGAACAGCATCAGGGAAAATGTCCTCCCATTCTGAGCAACAGAAAGCCCGATCCAACCTAACGGGCGTTGAAGACCTTTCATTTGACCAAGTATATTTGCGTCCCAGGAAGGGGATTTCCTTGACTTCGAAATCATCTAAGAATCATCGAAATCTTCCCATCAAAGCCCTGTCCAGATTAGCAAAGATGAGAGATCAATTTACTGAGGGGGTCCACGCATTAAGCATCTGCGTTTTGCAAATAAATAAATGAATAGAAATTGGCAGGCCTACATCTACAACATGAAGAACTGCTTGTTTTCTGGTTGATCAAAGGCATCACCAAACTCAGTAGTCACTAGCACTGATGCATCTGGAAATCAATTGATCAGAATGAAGCTGAGATATAGTAGTTATTTTTTTCTTGATCACGCAGTAGAGCTATGTATCTTTGTATTAAAGAGAGAAAAATGGGAAAGAATCCCATACAAGGCAATCCTATAGTTGGACAACAAACGAAATCAGTTAACCAAACTAATTACACGGGTAAATCAAAGCAAGAAAATTTGTTAATCTGCAGTTATGTCCCTTCTCTGATTATCAATTCTAGCATCATTGTTATGCAGTTGCACTCTTTGCATTACTCACAGACACAGCCTCCTCTCACCATCCACCAGTAATACCTGAACCAGAAGTGCGGGACCACTAAACAGATTAACCTAAAGCTGCACAGGCATATAGTTTCTGATTTGCAACAAGAAGAAAGCAGACGGATTCTATGGAGTGAACTAATCCGTTCAAACTATTATCTATCAAAAAGGGGTTCATAAATTTGCAGTCTTTAGTTATTCTGCATTCACAGCTTCCTGACTATTACAAACCGAATTACAGAATTTGCTTTCCTTTTGTAACCACTGGTAGGACAGCATAGTATCAAACACTTTATTGTATTCTTGGATGAATCCTGATGAGTGAAGACTATTTACGAGTGTCATGCACTGATCCTCAGAAGAACAAATACCCATCTCTTTCATTTCTTTTAGCAAATTTAAAGCTTCAATCAGTTTGCTCTTCCTGCAAAGGCCATCTAATAAAGCAAGATAAGATGTGCAGCCCACAATAGCACCTTTTGCAACAAGAGCATCATGTAGCATCAAAGCCTTATCCAAATAGCCTTGTTTGCAATGAGACTGGATCATGTTATGTATCACATCTAGAGGAACTAGTCCATGATTTATCATGTCTGTAAACAATGAGGACAAATGATCTGCATCACTATGTGAAGCATTCTTCTGTTGCAGCTCAACAAAAATTGTGTGCGCTTCACTGAGTTTCCCAGCCTCACCGAGTCCACTCACAATATTTTCAACAGTCAGCAGGCTAGGTACTATGTCTTTGTCCATCATCACATGGAGAAACTTCACAGTTTCCTGTAATTTTCCACGTTTACAGAAGCCACGGACCAAGGTGTTGAAAGAAGAAATACTTGCATATCCCCGAAAAATCATTTCCTCAGTTATAAACAGAGCTTGTTGAAGGTCTCCGGAGTTTGAGCAGCCAGCAGCAAGCACACTATAGACAAAAGCATCTGGAGTTACCCCATCTGTAAGCATTTCATTATACAGATCAATTGCATCACGGATATCACCAGCTTTGCAGTATCCATCCATCAAAGTTGTATATGTCACACAATTTGGGAGTAATCCCTGACGTGATATGCTATTGAAGATATTACGGGCATGAGAAATATCATCAGACTTACAAAACCCATCGATCAGGGCATTATAGCATGCAATACCAGGCTCTATACCTTTTTTAGCCATCTCATCAAGAAGACCAACAGCTTTCTCCATGTCAGCTGCCTTGCAAAAAACAGATATCAAGGAACCGTACATAAGCGAATCAGGAACTAATCCATTCTTCTCAATCACTGAGAGAACACTAACAGCAGCTTGCATATGTCCAGAGCTGGACAGATTGTGAATCACGATTCCATATAAACGGCTGTCTGGCATTAACCCCTTTTCTAACATGGATTCAAGAGTAGAGGAAACCTTTTCAAGATTGTCTGATTTGAAGTAAGCTTCTAGGATGTGGGCATAGATAAAATCCTTGGGGTTTAGTCCACTGTTTCGCATCTGATGGAGTAACTGTTCAGCCTTTTCTAGATCCCCAGTCATACTATAGCCATGAATCAGACCATCATATGTGAATTCATTAGGCTGAAACCCTTTCTCCAGCATCTGGTCGTAGTACTCTATGGCTTCATCCATCTTTCCCACCTTAGACAGTCCAATTATAAGAGAATTGTAGCAGTACAAATCAGGGGTTAAGTTTGCCCTAGTCATCTTTTTGAGAGTTTCACAAGCCAATGAGAAACTACCTTCCCTGCAATAGCCTGAGATAAGAGGTGCATAAACAAACGCATTGGGCTTTAAACCATCTGCAATCATTTGCTCAAGGAGACCACTTGCTCTTTCTGATTCACCAATTTGGCATAGCCCGTTGATGATTATGCTGTAAGTGTATACATTAGGTGAAATACCACCCTTCCTCATTTCATTAAGCAGCGAAAAAGCTTCTTCTTTGTTATGCTGTAGGAGATGACCTTCAATGATCAGATTATAAGTCATAGTGTCAGCCATATAACCAATCTTAGCCATTTGCTTCAGAATCCTGGAAGCCCTGCCCATCTGCCCCAGTTTACAGAGACCCCGGATGAGATTGTCATAGGTGATCTTGTTCGGCTGCACCCCAGCAGCAGACATCTCCTTGACTATCTTAAAAGCTTCATCTGCATTGCCCTGCCTCATGAACCCATCAATCAGAGTTGAATAAACAACCACGTTAGGCATCAACCCAGCACAAGACATCTCGTCCAGCAAGCACTTTGCCTGATCCGGCCTGCCACGCTTGCACAGACCGTTAATGATTGCGCCATAAGTGAACCCATCTGGAACCAGCCCATAATCCTCCATCTCCTTCTTGTATCCAAACGCCTCTTCAACGGCTCCAGTTCTGCACAGACCACCAATCAACGTATTGTAGGTCACTACATTCAGGCTACATCCCGTCTCACGCATTTCCTCAACCACCTTCTTGGCAGACTCCAAGTCCCGGACCTTGCAGTAAGCCTCGATCAGCGTCGAGTACGTGTAGACATCGGGCGAAATCCCGGCGCCGTCCATGAAACCGCGCACCTTCCAGAGCAGATCCAGGGCGTCAGCGCGCAGCAGGTCCTTGAGCAGCCCGTTGCAGCAGCGAAGGCTGGGCGCCAAACCGAGATCTTTCATCAGCAGGACAACCTCGGCGCTTTCCCGGACCCTCCCGGTCTTCTTGTAGGTGTCGACGAGCACATCGAGGACGACAGGCCGGCGTTCCTGGTCGGAACCAGAGAGCGCGCGGTGGACGGAGCTGAGGACGAGGGGAGGGGTGGGGTAGGCGCGGATCATCTGGTCGAGGAGCCCGCTGGCCTGAGGGTAGAGGCCGGCGGCGCAGAGGGAGACGGCGAGGTGGGCGAAGGCGTCGGGGGCCGGTGCCGACGGCGCGAGGCGGGTGCGGGACCAGTAGAAGAAATCCAGCAGGAGCTTGGGGTGGAGGCGAGGGGAGGAGGTGCGGCGGCGGAGAAGGGAGGATAAGGCAGCGGGAGAGAGGCGGGAGGGGATGTCAGAGGCGGCGATGGCGAGCTTCCAGTCGCCGGAGCAGCGGGAAAGGAGGGTGGCCACGTCCGCAGCCACGCCGTCCGGGTCGGGGGCCGTGGACGAAGATGTATCGGTGGTGGAAGTGGTGGTTGTGAAGGGCGCGGGAGGCGGCCGGATTGGGCGGATGGACGAGACGGCGGCGCCGGCGCCGGCGCCGGCGGCTGGACGCCGCACGCGCGCGAGGCGGAGCATTTTGGGTACGACTAGAAACAGAGGATGCGAGGGATTGTTTGGGGAGTAGCTGTGACGTATTGGCCTGATCGGTACTGCTTGCTGCAGCAGCGCAGCGCTGTGGCTGCTGCGGCAGCAAGCCTGAGAAACACCTTGATTCCATCACAAAATGTCAAAATCCAACCTGCAAGGGCTGCTTACAAACTTCCTTTTTTTTTTTTGAAAAGTGGCTGCTTACAAACTTGATTTGCAATTTTGCATGGATGATGCTCCTTTTTGGATCAGTTATTAGGCAGGGAGGCGGTTGCCTTGTTCCCCTCTGACGGTTTATTTGAATTCTGCGCACTCCTACGATAACCGAAGTT